TCTTATAAAACTGAGGTTATGAAAGTGAAAATGAAACAAATACCGAATGTTCTGTGTACCGAATCCTTTATCGGAAATGTCATTGTCATTTGGCCTTGCCATATTTCAAAATTTAAATTTAAATTGTTTTTTGATTGTGTTTATTCTTGTGAAAAACTAGGGACTCGACAAACCTCTGCAGTCTGCAAACAGTGGCGACGATGAATAGAAGCCCCGCCGCCATATTTTTGAAATTTCAAATATGAATACATAGGAATTATTGGATATACCTAAATGGATATCTATCATCAAAATTTGGAGGTAACGTATTTCTCTGACTAAAATTCAAATACGTTATTTTTAATTTTTTATAATAGACATGGATATATCCGAGAGGCATTCAGCCATTTATATCCTATTATTCATATCAAAAATTTAGAATATGGCAGCGAGACCTCCATTGTCGCCATTGTTTAACAAGGGTTGTCGAGTTACTGAAAAAAATACAGGAAACTGTCAATAACAAAGTGCTATCTCTCGGAGAATGATCGAACTAGTATTTATAGTTCACTCTCAGTCGGCAGAGGGCGTTAAAATACGACATGATATGTTAACATTGGAGAGTCCAGTCTATTTACCCCCTATATATATTAGTCTATGATTGTATTTAATTTGGTTGATTTCCACATTTTCCACCGTTATTTGTTTTGTTGTTGTTTTGTGTTGCAGCGAGTTGTAAATTTTAAAGTTATAATGGAAAAAAAGATTCGCACATACTTACTTTTGCTACCATAAACATATCACAAATTACAGATTGTCGGATTGGTTTTTGGAATTTCCTTCTTCGGTCATAATTAATATTGTCTGGCTAGCGAAACGGCGAACTGCAAAAGAATTTGCTGCTTTGTCAAACTTGACGGAAATTAGAAACAAAATAATAAACAAGTTGGTGACATATTTTTTTTTTTGCTATATGGGCATGTGTAATATTTTGAAATAGGAAAAAATCAGGCAACATTGCGAAATGATGGAAGTGGAGAGGCGTGATTATTCAGAAACAAGATTCTATTGGTTAGAGCCTGAACGACAGCACGCAGTGGCGTGGTTATTGGTGAAACTAGAGAATCTTTTTTCTAATAATTTTATTGGTTTATTTTCTTGGTGTTTTCGGTGCCACTGAACTCAAAGACATGGCTGTCATCAGACGGTGTCAGTTGAGGTGTCAGTGAATATTTTTAGGTAACGCCCCAGTTTTCTTCCCCCTTTCGTCTCTACCAAGTTACCACTTGCCAGACTATAGGTATATCGCTTTATTTATGTAATGCTGAGCTAATCATTGAATTAAGTTAATCATTAAGCTAAGTAAACCAATTCTAATAATGATAAAATTTTAAAAAAATAGAGAAAAACGTGGATGAACACAACTAACGGGTATTTATTATGTAGAGTTCGAGCTGCTGTGTTGTTCTTTTATCCCTGTTCTTCTCATTATAAGGAAAAAAGACGGAAAATGCTCCGAGCGCTCAGTGTTTCAAGACGAACTCACGGTATGATGGACGTTTGCTGACAGACACTGACAAATCATACTAGATGACGTCACGACCAGTACCAGCACGTTTTTTCCCGCTGGAAATAATTTGAATTTTTCCGCATTTTTAATTCCTTATTGCGGCCGTATGCGACAAAAAAAAATCGTTTTTTCGCTGATAATGTTTTAGCATAATATATTCTTATGATTTATAGTAATATTTTCATGTTTAAATTTTTTGTCAAGTTTCCTATTGTCGAGGTAGAAAATATTAAAATATAATGGGTAAAACATAATACCTTTTTGTAATATTTATCTCCCATTTCTGATGCAGTTTCTGTTGTAGATCCACCAGAATCCTTATTTTTTGTATGTTGCTCAACCCTGACCCTGCTAACAAAAAAATAATTATTATTTTTGATTTATTATATCGAGTAATCAAAAATGGTACTCCAATACTTTTTAATAGATTAATAAAGATATCTGTCATCAAGGATACCTTTTTATGATTTCCTTCACTGGGCTGCTTGAGGGGCCTGCCATATTTCTGTCAGACTGCAAAGTAATGATTTCAGACCCACTCGGCTGCTCCACGAGAGTTTCAAAATTATCATCCAAAGGTCTGAAAAGGTTTCTGTCGGGTGACTCAACAAGGGTAGAGTCCGAACTAAAAAATAATAATAATAATAATATGAGAACAAGCTGAGAGGAAAAGTGACAAAAAAAATATGATCCATGAATTCATAATATACACTGAAGATATTTAAGGAAAATACTTTATGTTAGTTCAACCTTACCTAAAAGATGATGGATCTTTGAACGCAGCAAGCCTGGGTTCAGCATATGGCCTTATCCTTTTTTTTTCCAGTCAGGCTTATTGTTGTAACATCACTGGGATCAAAATAATCCGAGCAAATGAAGGAAAATTTATGTACGTTCGCATTTCCCAAGCCCAAAATGGAAATCCACTTTTTCCTTCTTTCCAGATTTACAGGAAAACTACAACAAAAATTATAATAGAACCTAGTAATAGTGTATAGTCAAAGTTTATAAAGTTCAAGCTCACAATTCTTACTTCTCAATGCGTAATTTTAAAAATTCAGAGTTGAAACCAATTCTACATTAATCTACTTATCGCAAAGCACTTCAAAATACGGTTATATCCCCTTTTTAAGCCTAAACTCTAAACTTTAAACCATCAGGTGCTGTATAAACTCGTTTCTGTTGTGAAATAACAACTAATTTCAAATTAGTATTAGCAACTCGATTAGCAATAATTCATTGTGCATTAAGCAATAAGCATTATGAATTATACACATTGGCTAGCTAAACAGGGCATAAAGTTGAATAAAACTATTGAGGAATATGTACCTATCGTGAGTACTTACCTATATTGATTCAGGAAAACTCAGATTATTGCTGTAATTTAATTTCTAGATCTCAAATAAAAAGTTTCCTCTGAATCTTTCCCAGAATGTAATAGAAGTTTTACAATAAATTACCCTAAATACCCTCTAACTACGCCAATGGCGGCCAATGTCAAGAGTAAAATGATGTCAAATTTCTTACCGCCGAAATATCGAATTCTGCTTTGAATCCTTACAGATAATACATCGACGTACCATTGTTACTGTCTCCACCACACTTTCTATAGTTTTGAATCCAAAAATAACACTCAAAATCACAAAAAATCACAAATTTAGCTTGATCACTTTCCAGCAACACTGCCAAATCCCTAATGGATGCCAAAAGTCACATAAAATCATCTGATTGGCTGCTCGTAGATGCAACGTTGCCGATGTGCCGTTTTTCGAGCCATATATTCCTGGTTATTCCAGAATTTTCACAAAATTAAATTAAAAAAAGACTAATTATCATTTTCAAAAAGGCGTTTAAGTTATGTTTCAACAAAGATTGATATAAAAAAACATTTAAATTTTGTTGAAACTTATTTTGAAATAATGATTATCCGTGAAAACATTTAATATTGAAAATCACATCGGATTATTGGCAACCGGGCATTTCATGCAAAAATCGACCTTATGGATGTTGGATCGCAAATTGTTTGTTTACTGTTGTATCTGTCGTTTTTAGTTGTTAATCTGAGGGTACAATCGACGAAGTGATACTGATGAAGTTTAAGGCAAAAGCAGTCAGCAATCATATTAGATTTAAATAAATTGCACGAAATACAAAATTCCTTTCTTTCTAAGTTATAGTTTTTACATATTGCAGACGAAAACATCGTTTCCATTCCAAATAAAGCAGGCAGAAAAAAATATCGTAAATCTAAGTTCGTAAGTTTCCACAATTATTCGAAGACTGCCTGAAGTATCATAAATGATGCAAAAGTTGAAAAAGAAGTCAGCCAGTTATCCCCTATATTTTAAATATATACATGACAATAAACATAAATAAAAATGGCTCACTGTTACACAATGGCCTCATCGGTTTACACGTATACATAACTAAGGAGCAGTAACAATAAACAAATTATCACAACAGCTAATAATATCGGCAGACTCATTCTAATAGGCACATTTAAAAAAGAAAAACGGTAGGTATATTCCCTTATAGAAACCTGGACAAACTGGAAGAATGTTAAGGAGAACAGAAGAACTAAAAATACAAAGATATTAACATGGCCAAAAATATATTATGCAGCTTCACCTTATTATATTCCCTTACCTCCTTGGATAATTCAGGCTTTACTAACATTTCTTTTATTCGCGGTCCAATTAACGAACTTTACTTTGGCTAGAAATCATAAAACCTTTCATTGTACCTATTAAATTAAAATCCACAGAAAAGGCGTTTTTTTTTTCTTCATAATTTCCAAGAATTTTTTTAAGTTTGAATTAATTCCGAAGCTTAATCTTAAATTAATTAAGTTGTACAGAAGAATAATTATTATCCTCGTTAATTTAAATAATGGTTGGAAGGTATTTATTCCGCATTAAATAGTATATGAGGCTTTTTTATTCGTAATGATCTCAATATTGGAATGCACTACTTAAACTGGATAACAAGACAACAGCTATATATGCGAAACGAAATAAATCGAAACAAAACCAAAAATGGCAGCTGCTTTATGAGCAATACTCCAGGGATTATCCTGTACACCTGTTTTGTGCTTTTTGGGATACATTATTTTAAGGAACATAAACAAAAATGTGTGTGTTTATATTTAGTACGTTTTGGCACTTATCCAGGAATTCTTAATCATATTTGAGCTTTTACCATATGTACTTCAGTTCACGTGGTAGGGTACCTATTATAGGCGAGGTTGAAATGTCGGAAATGATAATGCATTTGATTAGTCAATAAAGTATAAATAGTTTAGAGATATTCAAACAAAATTGACAGCAATAAAAAACCTAAATTCAATCAATCAGAAAACTAAATCTGAAATACAAAATGGTTTGGTGCAATAGGAAAATAATAGTTGAGCATTTACATTTTCGTGAGTTAAGCGTTTGAAAGCAAACATTACCTTGATATGGAGCATAAATATTCAAATACAAACAATCCTCGCTCTGGTGTCGTAGAAATTCCTTTAATCTATTGACGTAATTCTTTCTTTCTCTTGTCATAGAGTTTTCATCCGGAAATTTTTGTGGACACACAGGTTTGAAGTCTCTCATATGTTTTACGCCTTTCCAGGAGTAAATGTTGCTGCTTGGAGGCATAAACCTGAAATTGATGAGAAATAATTATTAGATATCTAATACAATAAAAATTATATTCTTTTTATGGAATTATACAAAATAATCAATAATTAGGTCAGTACCTTCATCAATACTTTTATATCAGCTTGTTCATTGCACTTTTCTCCATGCCTACGATAGAGGGCTTTCATTTCAAAACTTGCCACATACCTTATCTGCGTGAAGAGATAAAATTCCCTTCCGTGTTTTTTTACACAGTTAATGTGCAATGGCAAATCTTGAAATGACAGCCATGTATAATAATAGTCTAGAGATCAGTGGTTTAAGGATATTACGTCAATAGAACAGATCATTTGCATAATGTAGGTATATACCTATGTATATATTGCAATGAAATTGAAAATATCAAACGAACAGCCTATGTAAATAAATTAACTGATGTATGCCGAAAACTCTTGTCATTCCAAAGAAGTACTAAATAATGTAATGTTTGGCAACAGAAACGGATAAAAAGTCTGGAGAAGTTAAAGGGGTCAGAATTAGGAACTTGTTGACACCAGAATACTGTTTTTTATGTATTTTATACATCGAAACCATATCCAAACCTTGACATGTTTAACTTCGATATCATTTCCTTCACCCTGGGGTGTTACCTTTATTTGAGATTTGAGATTCGAGATGAAATATTCCAATGGAATACGTATTCTAAGTAGTGAGAGAAGGCTAACCTCATTTGTTTTTTTATTTCTAATTCTTTTGTTTTTTGTTTTGATGGAAATAATTAGGTATTTTGATTCGTGAGTAGGTTTTCATTAGTTTTTTTTTTTGACACTTACTATCTAAACAGTGCATCACGTGTTTTAGTGGGTTTTAGTGGGTATACCTAAATGGGTTGTTTATGGTTTACATGATTAACAGTACCAATATTCCTAGTGATTTTATGTCTTATAGTTTTGATTGTAAAGAATGTCTCCGCATATTCAAAAATTTGTTAACTTCCTGTTTTACAGGGGTGATATGGAGATTGTAATTTTGTGAGTTGATGGAGAGAAGCTCGCCCAAGTAGTGTGAAAAAGTAGATAGATAATATGTTCCTAGTGGGAATTCACACCAAAGTAGCACAGGACGTGCAACTTGCTGCTAGAATGCAAGAAGCATGATACTGATTTTTGAATCTCTAGAAATATATAGTTTTGCGATGTATTTGCAAGGCGTATACACAAGTTATTTATACAATTTCTTTACTTATACTTGTAGCTGCTGGGAAACAAGAAATGTGCTGAAAGCAAATCTGGAGGATGCAAGTTGCAACGTGCTTCCTGCTTCACGGCAGCAAGTCGCACGTCGCATGCTACTTTGGTGTGAATGCCCACTTTATATTCTAACTCTATAGGATGCATGCCCCTTCCTAGGGTCCTTATAGGGGAAACACGTCAACGCTGCTTCGGGGAGTATCGGTTTATTCGCTACACAACTGTAGCTAGTGACCCTTATGCCTTGTCCAAATCTGAATATTTATGCATTTTTACTTGTTAAGGGTAGTTTTTCATATTTCGACGCGGTTTGAATCAATGGAATTTTGCATGGGGGCTGGAAATGGTGTTCTGTATTAATTTCATGGCAGGACACAGTATAGCTATTGAACGGTAAACACGTAGTTTTTTTTTAAGCGCTCGGTTAATATAAACAAACGCCGGGTGTCGTGTTCGCGTGCGATGGTGCGTGAACAAGTTAAATAGAAAAGGATGGTGTTTAGTCATCCTTTAGCAGTGTCAGCAACTACCGAAATAGAAACCAACCAGGTATTATTCCAAGAAAATAACGAACGTACGCAAAATAAACAGATACTGTTTACCAGCTGGAAATAAGCTGAGCAAGAAAAATTAAATGCAATATACAAAGTGAAACAACTACAATTCTAACTAGAAAACATGCATAAGATGTATGAAGAACTGAATAAAAAATATTCAGTGATCGAGAAAAAACTATCCAACAACACCAAAGAAGAGATAGTTGAATACAATACCAACGGAGAGGAGCTAGCACGTGAGACAGGGTGGATTCGTGCGAAAAATAGAAAGAAAAATGGATACTTCGCTTATACCTCCACCCACAACAAAACACCGGGGAACGGCCGGCAATAGAAAAGCCCCAAAAAATACAAGCACCTCCGCCAATTATAGTGGAGAACATTAATAATTTCAAATCACTCCATGATGTGGTGAATCAGTTTCCTGATGCTAAAATTAAAGCCATTCATGACAAAAATATTAAAATAATTCTACAGGATGAGACAAGTAATAAAACGCTCACCGCAGAATTGAATAAAAAAATATATTCTTGGCATTCTTATGAGAATAAGCAGAATAGGCCAATTAGAGTTATGGCCAACAAACTGCATCATTCCATGGCACCAGAAAGACTAATTCAAGAAATGAGGAATTGCGGCTACAAACTTATTGATGCCACCGGTAAACTAGAATATAAAACAAAAAAAACCTTTAAACATGTTCATGCTATGCTTCAGATCCGACGAGAGTGTTGAGAAAATTTATGGAATTACTGATATATTAGGATTCAGGGTTCAAATTCTACCAGTGAGAAAATCCAGGCTTGTGCTACAGTGTGAAAAATGCCAAGCAAATGGACATACGCGGAAAGACTGTGCCATGGAACCACGATGTGATAGATGTACTGGTAAGCACCTAACAGTTGAGTGTGATAAGCCAAAGAATGACAAACGGAAGTATGTTCATTATGAAGAGAGGGACATACAGCCAGCTACAGAGGATGCATAGTTGCAAAGGAAATGCAAAAAATGAAGGATAAGAAATCAATTCCTCCAAAGCAACCACAGAGGGTCAACCAAAGAGTGCTGCCAGCTCGGCCGATAGACAACATAAGAGTAGGGCAAAAATCCTACAGTCAAGCAGTTATTGGTAAGCCTGAATTGATTATCAAAAAAAATTAAGTTCAAAGGCAAGACCAAAATGTTTCTATTCAAAATTCTCGCCAACAAATTATGGATAAATTAACAGAAAGGGATGAAAATCATAATGTCGAGTAATCTTAGGATTAAAAAATGGAATGCCAACGGACTCTTGCAGCACCAACAAGAGCTGCAAGCAGTCCTGGATATTGAGAATATTGACGTACCTATGCCTTATTTCTGAGACACATTTTACTACTGAATCATTCCTTAAATTTAAGGGATATAAAGTATATCACACTATACATCCCGAAAATGCAGCATTATCAAGAAATCGGATATAAATTGGAACAGTTTAAAGCTGCTACGGTAAAAGTAAAAACCAGAACATTTGAGGTCATATACTGTCCGCCAAGACATGCCCTCAAAAAAGAACAATATTTGGACTTTCTCAACAGCCACGGATATAGGTTCATCATAGGTGGTGATTTCAATGCCAAGCATTTTCATTGGGGATCCAGGTTAACAAATACAAAGACAAAAAAACTGCAGCAGGCAGTTAGTCAACTGAAATGTGAAACAATATCAACCGGTTAGCCAACATACTGGCCTACAGACCCCAACAAAATCCTAGAATTGCTTGACTTCTTCATAACCAGAAATATATCAGTAAACTATATACACGTGGAACTCTGACCATTCTCCCATTCTACTCACGCTTAGTGACAGTATTATTCAAAAGGAAATGGCTCCTAGATTAGTAAATAAACTGACAGACTGGAAAAGCTTTAAATTACAATTTCATAAAAATAACAATCTGTCAGTGCCTCTAAGAAATCAAGAATAACTAAATAGATAATGAAACAGAATCATTTGTTAAGATGATCCAACAAGCTGCATGGAACAATAGTCCAGACATTATCCACAGAACCAAAAGTTACAACTACCCCAAAGAAATCCGAGACCTTATTCGTGAAAAAAAGAAGACTTAGAAGAATATGGCACCAAACCAGATCACCAGGTGATAAAACTATATTAAATAATGCCACACAACAGCTCAAGAGGGAGATTCAAAAAATTAAAGAAAAATCTATTGGTGAATACCTAAGTGGATTGTCAAATGATAGTAAAAGTGACTATTCACTTTGGAAAGCTTAAAAGACTAATCCTGCTAAATCCACCAATTAAAAATGCAGATGGTACATGGGCAAAAAGTAATATTCAAAAAGCTAACAGGTTTGCAGAATATCTCGCATGGTGAAGACATTCTCGGCTGGGAAAACCTTATTCAAGAAAAATGTACTATTAGACCAGCCACTCCAAAAAAAAAATAAAGAAGAAATTAAAGAAAACATTAATCCGAAAAAAGCTCCAGGGTTTGACCTAAGTACGGGAGAAATTTTTGAACAACTTCCTTGTAAAGCACTTGGTAAACTCACCTACTTCATCAATGAGTCTTTTAGAATGAAATATGTACCTGAGCTATGGAGCTCGCTATGGAAAGTACCGGAAATGAACATGGTTCCTAAACCTGGAAAACCGTTAAATGTAGTTTCGTCTTACAGGCCAATCTCACTTCTGCCTGTAATCTCAAAACTGTTTGAAAAAATACTTCTAAGAAGATTGAAACCAATTATTGAAGAAAAAAACCTTATTCCAGACCATCAGTTTGGCTTCAGAGAAAAACACTCAACTATAGATCAAGTCCACCGGATCACGGATTCAATTGAAAAATCATTGGAGGAAATAAAAGTTTGCTTTACTGTCTCCCTTGATGTGGCACAGGCTTTTGATAAAGTGTGGCATGAGGGGCTTAGTTATAAATTAAATAGGTTCTTGCCTAACCAGTTCTCAAAATTATTAAAATCGTATATTTCTGAACGAGCTTTCAGGATTAAGCAGGACGACGCTTACTCGGAACTTAAAGAAATTAAAGCTGGAGTACCACAAGGCAGTGTATTGGGACCAATCCTTTACCTAATATACACGAGCGATATTCCTGAACTGGAGCATGGTACGATAGCCACCTTTGCTGACGATACTGCTATAATGGCTGTAGGCAATACTCACTCATCAAGAAGCAGCAAGAAATCTGCAAACATCGGTTACCAATATCAACAACTGGACAAAGCAAAGGCGAATTAAATTAAATGAAGCTAAATCTGCCCACGTCACTTTTAAAAGAGATCAACATATTCCTATCAGAATAAACAATATCCAAGTACCTTATGCTAACACAACAAAATACTTGGGTATAACAGTGGATGCGAGGCTGCGCTGGAAAGCCTATGTCAAAAAGAAAAGAGAAGAACTAGACATCAAATTTAGAAAAATGTACTGGCTACTTGGACGAAATTCCACCCTGTCGATATGCAACAAAGTACTTCTGTACAACCAAATTCTCAAACCCGTGTGGACATATGGCATCCAGCTGTGGGGCTGTGCCAGCAAGAACAATCTAGACATAATTCAGCGATTCCATACAAAGTACTAAGAAGCATTGTCAATGCTCCCTGGTATTGCAGAAACAGTCACCTTCATAGGAATATGGAAGTGAACACCGTTAGCCAGACTATCAGCATGTTCGCCAGAAGTCATGAACAGCGACTTCTTCACCACGTCAATGTCGAAGCCATCCAGCTCCTCGATAATACGAGCCAGATTAGAAGACTCAAGAGGATCAAGCCCTTGGATCTAGTGTGACTAGTGTCAGTGCATAAGCAGAGTATAGTGCTTGTGTGTTACACATTAAGGCCGCAACCCTTCAAATTATATTTTAGTTCTAAAAAAAATTATAGATGGCGCCAAGATGAAAGCATTTTAAATATTATAGCGATTTCAATTTGCAGAATCAGTGCAACTTTTTTCACTCAGTTCGCACTGATTGGCTAATGGGATTATGGAGGGATTTGTATTTCCATGCCTGGTATGACTTCAAATTTTGTTCTACTCTGTAAAAGTGATGTTTTGTTGTAGAGCTTATTTTCGTGGTATGTTTAGTTGTGATAGGTATGAGATTTTCAGGAAGCAATTGGCACATGAATGGGCTCACAAATAGAGGAATACTCGGAGGAATAATAGAAAAATAGTCTTACCAGTAGTCTTGAGTTGCGTATCGTTTACCCGCGGCAAACTGTCGAACATTGGCTCGCGCGGCAGCCGCGCTCAATGGATACTACTTGCCGCGCGAGCCAACCCGTGCTCGAAGATGCCGCGGTGCGAGCCAATTTCTGTCGGCTTTTGGAGTGCGGCAAAGGAAATGCTCGCACCAAGTTGAGACGCTTGTGTCGTTATTCGAGTTGGATGTCGCGGCAAAATGACGATTTGCGGCAGGCTGCTCGTGCACGTGAAACGTCCATGGTTGCTTCGCGAAAATTAAACAAACATCTGGATCGCATGTCGCGAGCGGCAGCCGCGCTTTAACAAAGTTCGTGTCTCAAGTGGCTCGCGCGGCAAATGAAGGTTTTTTGCAGCGCGAGCCTGCCGCTCGCGAAATCGATACGTCGCTTTACATAATTTCAGATACCTATTGGTAAAAGATCCAAGAGCTAGTAAAAGAAATGCAAATCGCCAGATACCTAAATGGAATGCTCTACTGCATTGGTGGATATTATTATTGCACTAATATGCAAGAACACAAAGGAAAAACTCTAATTTTAGCACTTTCCACCTTTTGTAAATAAATTTTAATAATTATTATTGAAGCTTTTTATTTTTTCAAAGACATTTTGTCCTACAAAACACGATCCAATTTTTTTATGTATACCTAGGTACGTAAAATAGGTACTTTATTTATTTTCAATGGAAACTAATGGCACAGCATGCTTTGTTTCTATTATTTTATAAACCAATAATAAAAAACAAAACAAATACACAAAGTGAGAAAGAGGTTCTGTTTTTTGGAAACGCCGAACAACCTACATCAGCTGCTGCTCCAACGGTTCGTGGTTTTCGAAAACGCCTAATTATGACATCACGAATTGACTAGTGGCGTCATCTTCGAAAAAAAGCCTGAACTATATTTGCCAAATTATCTGTAATTTTATTCCAAAATCGGATTTAGACTACAAAAAAAAACGGCACATCAGAATTTGCTGAAATTTGGCATAAATATTATTTGATCGATTATCTAAAGAATAGTGCTCTTATTTTCTCAATTTTTACCGTGGTTATTTCTATTTTTTGGGAAATAGTTCATTTTCACAATATAGGCCAAAAAAAAATTCGAAATATGGAAAATCTAACTGCACTATTCTCTAGATAATCGATCAAGGAATGTTTATGCCAAATTTCAGCAAATTCTGATGTGCGGTTTTTTTTTTGTAGTCTAAATCCGATTTCTGTATTTTGTATCGTGTGCATGGGAGCGATGTTGGCGCCTTAATATTAGTGTAAATAGCTATCAGACAAAAATAAGGACATCTAGCGAGTAAGTCCTTAGATATAGGTTTTGTAGCAGTAGTAAATTAGGTTAGAAACAAATTACCCATTGATCAGATTGTAATGCAAGTGGATGCCGTCAACGGTGTTTATCAAAAAAAAAAGGCAGGACACGAACTTCTCATTGTGAATGGTGTTAGAATAACATGGCAAGACTCGAAGTACGAATTGGAAAAAAACTCTAAAGTCTGAATATTTAGGCAGTTTTATTTATTAAGGGTAGTTTTTCGTATTTTGAAGGAGTTTAGTCAATAGGATTTCGCATGGGGGTTGGAAATGGTGTTAGAATAGTGCCCTGTTAATTCCATGGCAAGACTCGAAGGCAAATCCAAGATGGGAAAAAAACACTAAAATCTCAATACTTAGGCATTTTTATTTGTTAAGGGTAGTTTTTCATCTTTCGACGTGTTCTGAGTCCATGGAGTTTTGCATAGCAGTTGGAAAAGGTGTTGAAATAGTGCCCTATCAATTTCATGGCTAGACTCGATGTCTAAGTATGATTTTTTGAATTTATTTTGAATTGAATAAAAAATGCTGCGTCAATGGTCGGTCGGGTGTTTCCGTCAAATTGCCTGCCAAGTTTTGACTGCTAACTTCACACCGGTTTAATTGCTAGAGCTCAATTTACAAATACTTTTCCCTCATTAGTTTTAAATTTTTGTGTAATGTGTGTGTAATGCTGTACGAATGTGTGACATAGAACATTTTATATACGATCCAATTTTTTTTATATATTCAAAATGGTTTTATATTTTCACATTTTATTTCGAATTAGTTAATTTTAAAAAGTACCATTTTTCAATAAAAATGATTTACGTAATGAGCTCATTACATTACTAGTACGATAATACAACTTATTACGTAACCCAAACAAGCTAAAATGAGTTATGTAATAAGCTCTTACCAATGTGGGTCGTACATTAAAGAGTTTAAAATAAATTATTAGAAAACCCTACACTGAAACTTACCGAAATTGATCCATGGGCGGCGCAGCGTAAGGTATTCCCTTATAAACTTCCACCGGAGGTAATGAATAATTCCGAAGTTGCACTACAGTTCCTTGAATAAAACCTTGTTTTTTCAGAAACACTTCGCGAGTTTTTAGTGTTTGCGTATAATAGTCACCAGGCATGGCCCACGATATTGAATAAAATGTTATAATGATTGTCATTGAATTGGTTATATGACACATTTTTGATTATTTTTTTATTTACACTTCTATCAAGAGTACCTATTGCAAATCCATAATATATTCTATTTGAAGTGCCTTAAACATCTACGTTTGTTTAGTTAAGTTTAAAACAATTGGATGATTTATTTTCGTTGTTCTTCGATCGTTTTTCGTAAACCAATTTGTATATAATCTGAAAATAAATTTAAGTTAATTGGGTAGTCAATAAAAATTAGAACTAGCTTGATAAAATTTATAATTTGTTATGTTTGATATTATTTTTCAGCATTTTTGGCATCCATTTAGATCAATAATCGTCATTTGCGTTGAATGCACATCAATGACGCACATGGATCCATTGATAAAACAAATTTCCGCGTAAAATTCATATTTTGAATGAGCGAAATATTGTGATACTCGTACAATGTAGCAGTGACATTGTAATTGTATTTTATCTGTTTCGTAAATAGGGATGCCAAATTATAATTTCGTAAAGTCAGAGATAAAAGTCTTTCAAACAATTAGGTCACGTCACAACCTATTACATCATTCAATCTAAAAATATGTTTTTTTTTTTTTTTAATTGTCTCTGTTTTCCATTAGTTTGCTCCTATCTCTCATTTTTTATTGTTTTCCAATTTAAAGCCTATTGTTAATTTATTTGAAATTGATGGTGTTCAGTTAGTAATGAAACGGTCATAATTGTGTCATACAGTCATTGGTTTATACAGAAAATTTGATAACTTTTTTGGCGAGCAACTATTATTATTATTGTACCAGAATAGATTTTTTAAAGTATAAATGCGAGAGCGAAATAGATTTAAAATAACTCACAACATAATTCCTATAGAGTTGATTTCATGCTTTTTTTTTCAAATAAATACTATCAAGAAATAAAGTTTCTCTAATAATTTCAAAATTCACATCAACATGCTTCCTAGAGGCGCACTTGGGAAACTGATAAAAATTCCTGTTTATTATTCGAAAGTCAGAAATAAACTCGGCAAGTTTAAATATTTGATGATGTATTCATGCTGAATACGAGATGATGCATTCATTGATTACATGCTTATTCCTAAATATAGGTGTGGATCTGCACACAGAAATTTTTCTTAAAAATAATAGAATATTGCAAATAGAATATCTTATTAATTCAGTCCAATTAAAACTCAGCAAACAAACAACTCTTAGGTTAGTTAACCATCAAAATCGCTCTATTTATCATCTAGATGTCTAGAGTAGTCTAGACTCTATTAATTAATAGCACTAAAACAAATAGGTCAGATGAGTGGCCGAATAGATGGTGCGTACCTAAATGTAAGTTTGTAATGGAACTGGCTCATTATTTTATTACCGTCATGTCAGAAAATTTGTTAATTTTCTCAGATGCTTGGGAATTGAGGATAATAATTGGAAATGAATTTGAGTTTTATCATGAGCGCATAATAGCAAGTGGCTCAAAGCCGTTTATGAAATTTCAGAGAAGGGTATTCTGGGTGAAAATAGCATTTTCTGCATTGAACTGTAAGATTTAGAATGTAGAATGAAACTACTAGATCAATGAAACCTCGGGATTCAAAAATTTAAAAAAATTGAAAAAATATTGCAAAGAAAATATACTGCTTTCTTGCATCATCGAAATATATTAAATGTAGGGAATACACCAACATTTGTTACTAGGGTCAGACAGGAAGTGTACAAAAAACCACATCCACCTGGATGTACGAAATGCTAGCCACCAGAACTGCAGAAACTGACGTGGAACAAATCTCACAGGTCACCACTTCTAGAGGATGTCCGCAGGGAGGAGTACTCTCATCTTTGATGTGGAGTCTAGTGGTTGACGACCTGCTAAATTTATTGACCGATCAGTGCTTCACCTACTTTGGATACGCTGATGATATTGTCATCATAACCAGAGGCAAATACGAAGGAATTCTCTACGACCTTATAGAGAAAGCACTTCGAACCACGAAGGAATGGTGTCAGACAGTGAGGCTAAATCTAAACTCAGCAAAAACCACACTGGTAACATTTACAAAAAGAACGAAACTCCCAAACCTGAGAAACATTTGCCTCAATGGAAGCAGACTTGATTGGAAAAAAGAAGTTAAATTTCTAGGAATAACCCTAGATTCTAAAATTCTCTAGAACGGACATGTAGGGAACACAAAAAACAAAGCAATCTCGGAACTCATGGTCTGCAAAAATATTGCGGGTGAAACGTGGGGTTGTAACCCACTAATCCTAAGATTGATGTATACCATGATGGTGAGACCTATCGTCAAGTACGGAGCGGTAGCCTCGTATAGCCAAACCCAGTTATTAACAGCTAGGAGAACCCCAGAAAAAGTGCAGACTCGCGTGTCTCTGTATAACAGGAGCAATGAGATGATGCCCGACTGCGGCCCTAGAAGTCATTCTAGACCTCACACCACTCCACATAATAGTGAAGCGGATTGCCAGTGGATCCTGTCTCAGACTGGAGAAGATAGGAAAACGCACCTTGGCAGAATTTTTCCCCTCACAAACTGTGCACACCTCATGGATCTACCAAAAGACGTGATTGTTGATAAATTCAGTTTCGAGAAAAACTATGTTTCATCCTTTTTTTTTTTTCAAAAAAGCTTTAAATTACAATAATTGTGCTGCACTTCTAGCTCTAGCAATTAATACAAACCGTCGATATTAGTCATTGACTTGCATTTTATAGTATTTTTGAGGTTTTTTAGTAATATTGCAGTAGTGCAGCTGGTGTAGAAATACGAACATGCTTATTCTCTCCTTCTGTGTTTTCAGCTATGGCAAGATGGTGTCTAAAGTATTCATTCCATAACAAGTGATGGCATAAAATATACTTTCACTAGTGATGGAATGAAGCTATTCCGCAATAAAAACTTAGTCGGAATGAGCAAATTCTCAAATAGTATATTTCGACTGCTTCAGTATCAATGAAAATTATTTATGAAACATTTTTTTTCTGTGGTTAGATACGTGAATTCAAGATTCAAAAAAAAAATAAAAAATATTTCCCAATTCCATAAAATTGTTATTGGCTTTCCGCCTACAAGTTTGTTAACACATTGACAGCTGTCCCAAGAAAAAAATAATAATTATCCTGATATTTGAGTGTAAGTTGTCACTAATTTCAGCAATTTATTTACTCGGTACCTTTTATTTATTATTGACTACGTGTAAGTAAAATATATTTTCCGCTAACTGGTAATTATTCACTTCGCACAAAAACTGATTCAAGCAGGTAACTCAATAACACCACGACTCTTTTCTCTAAATCCGTTTATGCTTAAACTCAACTTCTCGCTTTCAACTGGTTTTCACGGATTTAAACCAAATCGGCTGTAACTTTTACTCGGTCATTATCGGTAATTTAATAATATTCGTTACTAATCGTTTTTATCGTCTTGAAAATCTTTCAGATATTGCTGAAACGCGTTCGTAAACTAAAATTAAAATCGTCAATGTTTTCAACAAGCGAGATTTTTGAACCGGCCGTGATTATCTACGACATATGCTCCGGTTATTTTGGGACAAATCCTAAGGTTACCATATTGAAATGAGAGTCGTAGATGAATGCGGAATAGTTAAAAATAACTGAATTCGTGCTAAAAGGGGGTTTAAAAATATAACGGGTTCGATGGGGAACGCGTTAAATGCATTGGATTCCTTCGGCGTAAATATCTTCCGTTTCAATTTTGGCTAACAAGTATTGTGAAAACTTCAGAGACTTTTTCTGACATGTAAACTAAGCGAATGGCAGATAAAACAATAAATTACTTAAACAATCAGTATTATTTTCCGATAACGTTTCACAATTGAACCACTTTATTTTGGAATCAAAGTTTTCAAGGAAAAGGATTTCAATAAATAACTTTCAATTTTTTTTGTCATTTTATACGGGCCACAAAACTGTATAACTACAAGCAGAAAGTTCACCAAAAGACATGGAAAGTCACTCTATAAAAAGTGCATTTTGCTTGCGGCACAATTCGATATTTGTTTTTAGTCTCTTTTTAAACTGAGGAGTCTTTTATGCTAAGTAATTCAGTAGCAAAAATACTTGAAGTTTTTTATTTTTTGAGACATTCCAAGAGCAATGTTTTCTCCATGTGTATCAGTTCTAGAGTCTTCTGATATCTCAAGTAATACATACATATTTCTTCAACCTATTAACGAGAAGGACTGACAGAAATACTTCAACTTTCTTCAGATGTCACTATTTTACTATTATAAATCGTATACCGCAGAGTTCTGTGTGCTGCATCGGACTTCCCAGAACTTACTCCTAAACCTATCAAGGCAAACCAATATAGAGGACATCAATCGGGAAGAAAAAGGGCCAATACTAGACATCTACAACAAGATGCATCATAGGGTTTAAGGTTTGTAATATTTTTTGCTTTGAATTTCTTGTATTTTCCAGGTTTTTTGAAGATTTTTGAGAAGTTCATAGAGAAGGGAAATCAATGAAGGAGAAACGATAAAGAGGAAATAGACTAAAGGTACTTGGATATAAGTATATATATTTATATCTATAGTAGTAGAAAATATCCAGAAACGACAAGGGAAAGATAAGGGGCGTTTTGATGAACGACATAGAGAATTGGACTTCGAAGCTCGAGACAAAGTTAAGGTGTTTATCCCATCAGAAAGGTTGGAGAAGTGAAAATTTACTTTTAAGATGGCTTGGACCATCTAAGGTACTTAGAAAACTTGCAGAAGTGAATTATGAAGTAGAAAAAACTGGTAGTAGAAAGAAGAATAAAGATGCGGTCCACGTCAGTAAAAGCTGCACCTATCGAAGAGTATAGTGAAGATGAAGACGAAGAAGAAGAAGTAAGAGAAGAGGAAGAAAATGAGCAGTAGAAGAAATTGGCTACATGTACATTATAAAATAGGTTTTAAGAGGGAGCCACAAAGCTTAGTATTAAATAAATTTAAACAAGATTTATCAAACTCTTTTCCTTCCGGATTTTTTGGTGATACTGACTCATAGCGTCACTAGCCAGAAGGTAAAAGTATCCGCCGGCGCAACCTGGAAACCTCTACCACATACAATTTCATACGAAGGGTCAATCCCATTAACATACAGTGGCTTGAATAAGAGCTTTTGGAACCAACAATACTGGGAGGCAAGAAGTTTCAAGAATCAGAGAAAGTAGGATGTAAGATTTAACGTACATGGAAGGAATAGCATCGACTGTAGACAACGAATTAAGGAGTCTAACTAAGCACTGGAATATAACTAATCTAAAATCAAAGACGAAGAGCAAAAGAGCAATTTTATTTCATTATTCGTAATTTAATTTCATTATTCGTAATTTCATTTTTAACACACATAATTTTTTGTTTCAATCGCACAAAATCGCATACAGGCACCGGCAATAAATTCGGTATTCAGCTGACAATATTGCTACCTGGACAATACCAACAACATGGTATTTCAGCGACCATTTTTTGACATTGTCAAACTGATATTTTTAATTTGAAGTTTTTATTCATATTTTTGCATTCTATTTATTTTCAAAATCTGTCCCTCGATCTGTCCTCATTGATACACATCAAATACAGTTTAAGATGGAAGTTGAGAAAGACAACAAAATTGCATTTCTCGACGTCCTCTTAGAAAGATTACCCTCAAGTAAACTGGGACACAGAGTATAAAGAAAGCCGACGCATATGGACAGATACCTCAACAAGGAATCCAATCACCATCCCAGGCAAAAGAGAGGAGTCACTGAAACTCTATCTGACAGGGCAATTCGGATTTGTGAACCCAGATACCTTCAGGACGAGATGCAACACCTAAAATCAGCACTTGAAGGAAATGGGTACTCCAAGCAGGCGATAAATAGAGCCATAAGACCGAAGCAACAGCGCACAAATAACAAGGAACCAGCACAGGTGGCAAGGAGAGCCTTTCATCCCTATATCAAAAATGTCACAGATCGGATAGGACCAACGCTAGAAAGACACAACGTTAAGCTTATCTACAAGCCCAAAAAAATAATTTCCTGAAAAAAACTGGCCCATAAATTTAACCTGCCTTGACTTAAACTGTATTTTGGACTTATTAAATTTAATGTTGTATTTTTTGACTCGTTCAAGAACTAACTTCAAATTGACATCATGCTCTTGTTCCGTTGACCCTGTAATGATCACATCATCGAAATAAATTCCGACCCCTTTAATGTCACCAAATAAGTCATAATTTTTACGCTGGAATACCTCAGGAGCTGAGCGTATACCAAATGGTAACCGTAGAAACCGATACCGTCCAAATGGTGTTCCAAAAGTGCAATAATCTGAGCTTTGATCCGTAATTTTCACTTGAAAATACCCATCTTTTATATCGAGGACAGAAAAATACGATTTATCAGACAAATTACTAGCTATTTCATTAAGAGTTGGAATGAGAAAGAGTTCGCGACTAATAGCATTATTAGGGAATTTTGGGTCTAAACACAACCTCAAATCTTTGTTTTTCTTTTCGACTATAACCAATGGATTTAGCCATTCAGTTGGCTTATCCACTTTAGCTATAATTTCGTCTTTTTCCAACTGTTCAAGTTTCAATTTTATTCTGGAATGCCATGCCTGGGGAATGCGCCTAATCGGCTGTATATGTGGGACAGCATCCTTTTTTAAAATAATTTTATGAGTTGTAGGAAACTCCTTTAATCCCTCAAAAACCATAGGATAATTTATAGTAACATCATCAAGAGTTTCAAACTTGTCAAACTTTAAAAAATCTACTCTTTTTACTAAATCCAGATTTATGCATCCATTTAATCCCAACAATGGTAATTGACCCACACTATCAACAACAATAAAAGGTATTTTTGCTGATTTTCCATTCACATTGCATTCCAAATTAACCTTGCAAACAGGTTTTATAGTAAAATCACCACTACCATAATTAAGCAACCAATGTTACATTAGTTTTCTTTGATTTTCTTTTACAAACAAATCCATTCATACAATGAAGAGGTGAAATGCTCACTTCTGCGCCAGTATCCAACTAAAATTCAATTAGCTTACCTTCGATATCAATGTTTTTAATCCACATGGCTTCATTAGATGACTTTCCATCTATATTCACTACACCAACCTGCTTGGTTATGGCACAAACGTAAAATTGGCCATTTTCACTATCCGAGTTCTCCTCTTCTTGTGGAGTAACTTTATGCACATTTTTCTGCCTGCCATCACGAGATTCCAAGTTTTGTTTAGATTTACACACTGGAGCAAAGTGATTAAGACGATGATACTTATTGCATTTTTTTCACTTACAGAAACTCTGCAGAACTTTAGATTGTGATTTGCTAGCCTCAAAGGCTCTACAATGCTCAATTGCCATGTCCAGAGTCAAATCCGATGCTCAGTAATCTTTCCTGAATATCTTTGTTAGAAACATCCATAACGATTCTACCCCGAATCATGTCATCTTTGTCGTTATACCCAGTGGATTTTACAGGCTTCCGCAACTCCGTCAAGAATGAGTCAAACAATTGCTTCTTTCTGGCAAATACTGTTGAAAACAAACCTTTCGAAAATAACATTTTACTTAGGTGAACAGGGCTTCAAATTTTAGTTTGACCTCTTTCAAGGATTTCTTTTGAACATCCGTCAAGTCAAAAGTAATGAATAATTCCAATCCATCATCTCCAATTAGGTTCAACAAAACTGCCACCTGGGTTTTTTTATTTTTTTAGACATTCTGTCGCAGTTAAAAAGTTGTCAAATGTTTGCTCGAACAACTTCCAATTAGGCAATCTACTGACCTGTCAAAAACGAAATTCAATATGGAAGTTCGGGTCAAGCACTGTGTTGTTTATTCTGTATGTCATTGATTCTGTCACATTTTGGACAAACGTCCAGATTTGAATTATCGGATTTTGTATTTTTTTATGTGTTTAGGTATTGTGTTAATTAAAATGCCAGCGATTTGCATCATAATTGGGTGTGGAAGTCGAGGTAACAGGAAAAATGTGAAATTTTATTCATTTCCTGCTATGTTAAATCATTGGCAACACAGGGTTTTATGGATTGCTGCAATTAAAAGATATAGGATCTAACAGAGGCTCGATTTTCCCTTAATAATAATACCTTAAAATATTCACTCTCCATCTCAGAATTTATTAATAAATTAAAAAATACGTAGAAACACTATAAACACTATAAATATCACTTTGAAAACAACAAGGGCCAGAACACTAAAAAATACTTAGAAATACTAAAGACTATAAAATTCACTATGAAAACAACAATGGCCAAAACCAATAAAAAATACGTAGAAACACCAAAGACTATAAAATTCACTTCGAAAGCAACAAGAGCCTGAACACAAATGTGCACAAATGCTCTCCTTATGAACGTCACCGGCTTGTCACCCTTGTCACGGCAATATTTGACCCGAACGGCCATTATAAAATCACGTGATTGAGATTGCCTAATTATCCG